GCCATCCCTGGGGGGCTGCGATCTGTGAAACTGTCGCCACTTTCGAGGCTGCTGGGGGGCCCAGCACAGTGGGTACCCACACGCAGATTCAAATTAGACCTCGCCATCCCTGGGGGGCTGCGATCTGTGAAACTGTCGCCACTTTCGAGGCCTGCTGGGGGGCCCAGCACAGTGGGTACCCACCGCGGACTCAAATTAGACCTCGCCATCCCTGGGGGGCTGCGATCTGTGAAACTGTCGCCACTTTCGAGGCCTGCTGGGGGGCCCAGCACAGTGGGTACCCACCGCAGACTCAAATTAGACCTCGCCATCCCTGGGGGGCTGCGATCTGTGAAACTGTCGCCACTTTCGAGGCCTGCTGGGGGGCCCAGCACAGTGGGTACCACCGCGGATTCAAATTAGACCTCGCCATCCCTGGGGGGCTGCGATCTGTGAAACTGTCGCCACTTTCGAGGCCTGCTGGGGGCCCAGCACAGTGGGTACCCACCGCAGACTCAAATTAGACCTCGCCATCCCTGGGGGGCTGCGATCTGTGAAACTGTCGCCACTTTCGAGGGCTGCTGGGGGCCCAGCACAGTGGGTACCCACCGCAGACTCAAATTAGACCTCGCCATCCCTGGGGGGCTGCGATCTGTGAAACTGTCGCCACTTTCGAGGCCTGCTGGGGGGCCCAGCACAGTGACGCCACGGGCGGATTCAAATTAGACCTCGCCATCCCTGGGGGGCTGCGATCTGTGAAACTGTCGCCACTTTCGAGGCCTGCTGGGGGGCCCAGCACAGTGACGCCACCGCAGACTCAAATTAGACCTCGCCATCCCTGGGGGGCTGCGATCTGTGAAACTGTCGCCACTTTCGAGGCTGCTGGGGGGCCCAGCACAGTGGGTACCCACCGCAGACTCAATTTAGACCTCGCCATCCCTGGGGGGCTGCGATCTGTGAAACTGTCGCCACTTTCGAGGCCTGCTGAGGGGCCCAGCACAGTGGGTACCCACCGCAGACTCAAATTAGACGCCGCTTTCGTCCTTGTTCTCCTCCTGCAGTCACCTTCCCTCTGCTGCTGTTGTGCTGATGGTTCGGCTTCCCGCGCGTTATTCTCCTGCTCTGCGTTCCCGACTCCCCATGTCCTCTTCGAGCCTGTAGCTGTCGCCCCTTGTCCTTGTATGGTTTTCCTGCACATCATGCCATAGGCGCGTGTCCCAAGTAGCTTACACATCAAGTTGATTGTCCATGCAAGTTTCGGCCAACTCCTCGTTTCCATTGATACAAATGGGTTGGGTACGTCACAGGGTAATTTGATTGTTTTTTTGATTATTCTTCGACTATTTGATTATTGTTGAGTGCGGCCCTGGGCCAGTGGGGCGTCGAGCACGGCGAGGGCGCCCGCCGGGGCCGGGCCGAGACTGCCCCGGGCCCGGCGCCCATGGCCCCGACGAGGGCCGGGGGGGCGCGGGAACCGGCGGGAGCGGGGGGGGGGCGCTGCACCACCGCCACCGTGCCCGGAGGAGCACCGAGCTGGTGCTAAGGCGGGAGGGCGGGATGGTGAGCGCCCGGAGGAGCACCGAGCTGGTGTGAAGTCCGGGGAGGCTGGCGAGCCGGGGGAGCAGGGCGGGAGGGTGGCGCTCGGAGGAGCACCGAGCTGGTGTTGAGTCGGGCCTGTCCCCCTGCACGGGGATTGTCGACGAGGAATACAGAATACCCCAGCAAAATAGTCAAAGGATAGTCCAGTCTGAGGATTGTTTTTGGAATAGTTGTTAACCTTCTTGGGGTACTTGAATTTTGTCGCGTCCGTCGAAAATTGTAGTACAGGGGTTATTTGGGGTATTGGGTCTTTGGGTTCTTGTAGTACAGGGGTATTTTCGGGTCTTGTGCTACAGCTATTGTAGTACAGGGTTTTTGTTTCTTTGATCTTTGGGCTTTGTAGTGCATTTTTTTTGTCCGTCGAAAATCCCCCTGTAGGGGGACGCGCCCGACATAGAACTGGGGCACTCGGCGGCGCAGAGCGGGAGAGCTCAAGGCCAGAGGGGGGCCGCTGGCTTAGGGGGCCCCGCGGGTCGGGCCGCCCTCTCGGGGGCGGTGGGACGGCGGAGCGCCGTGGCCGAGCGGGCGCCGCAGAGGCAGCCGGGGAGGGGGGGCAGGCCGGAGGGCGCGAGGACGAGCCCGTGAGCGGCGGCTGGTCGGGGGCGGAAGAGATCGCATCGAAGAAGGAACCCTTTTCGTTGGGGAGGGGCTCCGTGTTCCTTGATTGTTTCACGGCTTGCCTCAGGTTTTCCGTAGGTTTTCGATGAGAAATCGAACTTTCACTGATGGGAAAAAGGGGCCTCGTTGCTTATTTAGGGTTCCTTAGGTCAACGTCCCGACTGTATGGCCAGGGCCCCGGGTAAGGGGACCCGATTAGTGGTAGGGCCCCGAAGCCTTGGAATTGGCCAGGATCACGAAACCGGGTTTGCCGTAACTGGTGTTTTTCGGGTGACGGCAGTTCCGGTTACCGGAACGGGGCGGGGGGGCGCCCCCCGGTACACATCATTAGACCAGGTTCCACTAAACCCAGTTCTGCCAACGCCTGATTGGTCGGGGGCGGAAGAGATCGCAGGTGGATAGACCTCCCACCCTGGCACGTCGATTGAGGAATTTGCCGTTTTCGGTTCGCGGGAGGGCGTCGCGGCCGTCATTCTTGCGGGTCCAGGTCCGTCGGTTTCGGTCCCAGGCCGTTTTCATTAAGGGGAGGTCTACTAAAGGGAGGTTTGTCCACCGCCGAAAAGAGGGGGGTGATGACTAGGGGGGGGGATGTCATGGCGTGGGCCATGAGTTTTGTTCCCCAGATTTCATGGCGCCTCTCCTTGTTTCATTGCGTCCCTGGCCCCCCCGCTGGGCCGCGCACGTGCCGGCGGTCATGCTCTGCACCCCCCCCCCTCTTGGACAAAACCCACCTTTTGGCCGCTCCCGAGAGTTGGCAGAGGGGGAGAAGGGCAGCAGCGCCTCCGTGCGGGAGCACCAAGGCTGACGTCGCGGGGGGTCCGCTCTTGCCCGTGCGGGGCGGGGTGTACCTGCACGGGCCGAGGCTGGAAGGCCCGGTGGTCCGGAGCGCTGGGTGCGGCCACCAGAGCGCCGCTGCCCGGATTGCTCGTTGCTGGGCCAAGTCGGGTCGGCGCGGCGTCTGCCCTTCACACATGCGTGCACTCATCCATACGGACACACATACTTGCATGCATGCATACCAGCATTCACACAGGCACATACACACATACACACCTCGATACATACATGCATGTATTCATACATGCGTGCATACATACACAGACGGGCAGACATGCCGACAGAAGGACAGGCGCACCGACAGATTACACACACATACATTCATACATTTATACATTCATACATTCATACATTCATACATTCATACATTCATACATTCATACATACATACATACATACATACATACATACATACATACATACATACATGCACACACACATACATACATACAGACAGACAGACAGACAGACAGACAGACAGACAGACAGGCAGACGTACAGATGCATGCATGCATGCATACATATGTATATGCATACCCATGCATACATTCATACATGTATCCATGCAAGCATACATAATCTACCTGGTTGCAGGCATACGTACATATCTACGTACCCACGCGCACACACACACACTCTCACATACACACATGCATACAGACAGACAGACAGACAGACAGACAGACAGACAGACAGACAGACAGAGACAGGTCGACAGAAGGACAGACAGACAGACATACATACCTACAGAGAGACAGACATACATACATACGTTCATATATATATATATATATATGCATGGTGTATGCAATTCATGCATGCATGTTTGCACGCATGCATGGTTGCGCATGCCAACATACATGCACATGAAAACGTACTTATGTGTGTACCATAAGAAGAGCTAGCGATAACAATCATGATACTAATAATAGGTATTGTAGTTTGATTGTCGTTTAGCCCAACCCGCAATCGTGTGGGGTCGTGGGTGCTTATCGGGGGCCTCTGGGAGGGTTGTTGTTGAGGGCCCCTTGGGGCTTCTGGGTGCCTCTGTGGGCCTTCTGGGGGGCCTCTTCGGGTCCTGCTGACGGTCTCACCTGTCATCTTGGGGCGGAGGGCTTGGAATGTCGGTGCGTCTTCCTCGTCTTGGGCCCTTCTTAGGGCCGTCTTGGGGGTTTCTTGGGCTGACTTAAGGCCCTCTTGGATCGTCTTGGGTCCCTCTTTGGGATATGTTTGGCCGTCTTGGGGCGATCTTGGGAGTTTTTCCGGCCGCCTCGGAGCGTCGGGAGCCCGAGAGGGCGAGCACGCTCAAACATTTCCCAGAACCAGCGGGAAATCCTTGATTTTCTGCCTCTTGGGGCCCTTTGGGCGGCGTTTTGGACCACATCTTCGTTGGGTCGTATTGAGGACTGAGTCCGTCGTGGGCTGGCTTGGGCCCTCATGGGCCGTCTCGGCACTCTCCAGGACCGTCTAGGGTCTAGGGCGCTTCTCGAGAGACTCTTATAGGTTCGTCGGGCTGTAGTGGTCGGGTTCACCGTCCCAGAGGCCGACGCGAGACGCCTCAGAAGCACCAAGGAGCGCCCAGGAGCGCCCAGAAATTCCGGGAAATTGGTGCCTGAGCAGGTCAAAACGCACCACCCGTCGAGTTCTCCTAATCGCGCGAGTTTGGGGACACTCCCATGCGTGCTGACGGCGCGTGGGTGGACCAGGAGCGAGGATCGGGGGGGGGGGGGGGAGGGGAGAGGAGGAGCGAGGGGGGGAGGAGGGGAGGAGGGGAGGAGGGGAGGAGGGAAGCGAGGAGGAGGAGCGGGAGGGGAGGGGCGAGGAGGGGAGGAGGAGGAGGAGAGGAGGAGCGAGGAGGGGAGGAGGGGAGTAGGGGGCGAGGCGGGAGGAGAAGCTCCCGCCCCCCGCCGCCGAGGAGCGGGAAGGCGGACACCGTCCAGGTCGACCTGGAGGAGCTGCACCGGAGAATGGTCGCCCGGGCGGGCGGGAAGCGCGCGGGCGAGCGGTGCTCAGATTGCCGATCGGAGTGTTTCTATGCTCAGATTGCCGATTCGGGCGATTTCGCAGATTGCCGATTCGGAGCGATTTCATGCTCAGAATTTCGATCGGAGTGTTTCTGTGCTCAGATCGCCGATTCGGGCGATCCCGTGCTCATATTGCCGATCGGAGCGATTCATTGCTCAGCTTGCCGATCGGAGCGCTCATCATGACCATCATCAGCACCACATGATGATGACGATGACGAGGAGGTGATAGGGATATGATGGTGACGAAGATGAGGAGGTGATGGTGGTGGTGATGATGATGGCGGTGACGAGGGCGATGATGAGGATCACGACTACCATGATGATGTTGATGACGATGAGTAAAAACCGAGAGAGTCAGTTGTGGTCCAAAAGCCCGCCCTAAACACAGCCAGCCACATCCATGTATGCAATGGTGTAAAAGATCCGCCCCGATATTCCTGTTCTTCGTTGTAATATTATGTTGATTCCTCCTCCGGGAGCTTCTTCTTTTGTTAGTCCCTAACTCGGCACGCGTCGAGGGTGTCTTACTAGTGGCTCCCTGGCTACAGGTGCCCTTAGTAGGTATCCCACCCGCACCATATCCGTGGCCTGAATGTTTGTTCCTTCTCGCCGTCCTCCTCCTCTCGCTGTTCTCGTCCGTCGTTTTCTTTGTCGTCCCGTGTATTGTCCCAGGCGGCACATGCGCCGATATGTTGCACTTGGGCCGAAACGTTGCATCTGCGCGGGAGGGACGGGGATGTGGATGAGGCAGAGAGGAACGAGGAGAAGGAGGGGCACACTGGAAGGGGAGGAGGAGGAGGAGGAAAACGACGAGGACGGGGAACGAAAAAGAAAAGAAAAAGGACGAAACACAGGAGGATGAGGAGAGGCTTGTGGAGCTTGGGGCTCTCCTCTGACCCTGAAACGGCCCATGAGGCCTTAGGCAGCCCCTCTTGCGCTCCAAGAGGGCGTGCCGTTCCTTGACCCTGGAGGCAAGTAGTTTCCACCGCATCTTTCGTACCACACAGGAGGCACGCACATCATACGATAATACCCTGTTCAGGACATGGGGGACAGAACAGATCCGAGAGACCTTGGCAGGACTTCAATTCTGCCAGACTTAAGTTTGTTTCTGGTTCAAGGGGGGAAGCGGGGATAAGGAGGACGAAGAGGAGGAACCAGAAGGGTAGGAGGAGGGGGTCCGCAGCTGGTCTGACTCAAGGGTCGCCGTTCTGATTTGTGGCCGTGCGCTGGGGGCAGCACGGATCTTCGCATCACCTCTGGTATTTGTGCCATGGGAACCAGGGGGGTTCGTTTGCCGTCGGCGTCCAGCCAAGCAACGGTAGAGAGCTATGTTACCGACATGACCTCACAGCTGCCCGCGCACTTCGCTTTCGCAACCCTGGTGCCGTGGAGATCGCCGCAGCGACCTAGCAAGCTCGTTTCACCAGGCTCAGGATCCGCGGGCCATTGGGACACAGAGTGGATCGCGTCTCTGGCGTCTGAGTGCACAAGCTTGCTGGTGCCATGCACGTTCGAAACGCGGTACGAGAAGTCAATGATGAAGAAGTTGATGGAACAGCTCGAGACGCATCGTGACCTCTGCGTGTTTCTGCTGCAGCTGATTGAGGTCCCGGGTGAACTGAGCCGGGAACACGTGCAGGCGGTCATGGCGCGTCACGACGCGCTTCTGGCCGTCGGTGCTGATGGGGTGTTGCTGGATCCTGGTGACAACCCAGATGAGCTGCTCCGAAAACTCGACATCGAGCGGTCTTGGCTCGAAGCGACTGAGAGGCGTGCATATTCGATGATCGCTTTCGGCGACGACAATTTCCAGTGCATTGTGGACTATCACCACAAGCTGCTCTGGGAGTCCGTCCCGAAAGCTCTGATGCCCGATTTCGACCCAATCGATCGCACCCTCGTGGAGACGGCCAACAGGGTGGGCGATTACGAACTGACCAATCGTTTTAACACCAGGAGCGGCACCGTATGGCTTGCCGAGCGGAGCGAGTCTGAGCGAGTTGTCCTCAAGGTCTACGACAAGTCGGACCTCGTATCTGCTGCAGACCTGGAGTGCATCCATCGCGAATTGTGTTTCTTGAGGGACATGCTGAGGCACCCGCACATCGTCCGTTACTGTAACATGTGCCATAGTTTCTCCTGCGTGTACTTGGCCCTCGAATTTGGGGGCATGCAGAATCTGCACGCGCGCCTCGTGGACCAGCCTGGGTACCGCCTCGACTTGGAGGATGCTATGGACTGCGCAACGCAGATAGCAAAGGCGCTGGCCTACTGTCACTCAAGGGACGTCGTGCACAGACAAGTGTCTCTGGAGCACATCGTCGTGGAGGACCAGTCTGAAACGCTTTTCTGTCGCATGGTGGACTTCTACCAGGCGGCGCTCCGCCCAGAGTCGACGCCGTCGACCACGCTGTGCGGAGACCTGCCGTGCATCGCCCCAGAGGTGGCCCTGGACGAGTCGTACTTTGCCAAGCCTGCGGACTGCTGGAGCCTCGGGGTGGTGCTCCTCGAGGCCGCCGGGGGCCTGGGCTCGATGAGGCAGGCGGTCCGCTGGCGGGAGGATGCGGAGCTGACGCCCACCGCCAGAAGGATCGGGCGGGGTTAGGAGGAGGACAAATCCGTCCCAGAACGCTCGCAGAGCGTTCTGGAACGCTCCGAAAGGGCCGCGGCGCCCGATGCATCCTCCAGAGCCGGTGGATCTCACAGACTCGATGTATCATCCGAATTGATCCTCATCCTGTCGTCGTCTAAAAGGATCGAGAACTTCTTCTCCCGCGAAGGCAGCCACGCTCGCGCACTGGCGGCCATGGGCGGAGTGCGCAGCGAGCCCGTGTTGGCCAAGCTGTCCGCACTTCTCGAGCCGACGCCTACGGCACGGGCGGCCATGTGCGCCATCGCGCAGTCCTCCGTCTAGACCCGCGGCGCCTCGGAGGGCCCCTGGAGCTTGAACGATGAGAAGCACCGCGCCTTGATCACAGCACCCTTCTTCCTATTGCTTTGCAGTGTCATGTCGTGCCCTCTTGGCATCGCTCGGACGTGTGCATTTTTCCTCGGTGGGGACCATCGAGGAGCATCCTTGATCATTTGGCGAAAAAACCACGCAGGAAACCGACAAAAGCACAGGGAATGGACGTCCGAGCGATGGCGAGGCCCTTCTCTCTCTGTTCGCCGCTGCATGGATTCGTTTCAACAGGGTCGGCGCAAGTGCTGCGCGGGAGGCGCGGTCCAGGTCGTTTTCACTAAACCACGTTTTACTAAGCCGGGAGGGGCACAGTCACCCCCTTGCCAGCGGTACAGCGCTCACGGCAACCGGCAAAAGGATTGGGCACGCCCTGTCGGTTCGTCCTTCGATTGTACAGAGTTTTCTCACAGATGCCCTTGAGACACTCTAAGAGTACCCCTCGGCAACAAAAGATTGCCTTTATCTCGCTGTTCGTCGCTGAAGGCAGTCGTGTTTAAACGTAATCGGCGCAAGTGTTGCGCGGGAGGCGCCATCCTTGCCCGGGTAAAGTTGGCTTGTCCGCCCTTTTTCGAGGGCGACCAGCGCTGCGCGCCCAGCGAGCGGGAGGCGGCGGATTTTTCATGATTGCCTTTATCTCGCTGTTCGTTGCTGAAGGCAGTCGTTTAATCAGAATCGGCGCAAGTGTTTCGCGGGAGGCGCCATCCTTGCTCGGGTTAAGTTGGCGTGAGTTTTCCGCACTTTCTCGAGGGCGACCAGCGTTGCATGCCCAGTAAGCGAGGAATGGCGGATTTTTCATGAATGCTTTTACCTCGCTGTTCGTCGCTGAAATCAGTCAAGCCCTGCGCTCGAACGGCGCACTGGCAAATAAGAAGTTAGCACAGCGCACTGTCGCCGGACAGCTGATGCGATGCGAAATTCCGTGTAAACGCATCGGCTCCATCTGTGGGCACAAGCGGGGAGGAGGAGGAGGAGGAGGAGGAGGAGGGACGAGGGGAGGAGGGAGAGCGCCGAAAACAATCTGAGCATGCCTGCTGGCAAAAGCGAATAGACACTGGAAGCCCATTGCTGTTTGGGTTACCCTCTCTTCCTTTGGTTCGCCCATCGCCTAGGCAGCCTTGTGCCAGGCTCACACGTAAGGAACTTGAGGAGATTATCTTCCGGGAGTGCCGAAATCTTCCTATACACATTCATCTGCCGATCACGAAGCGTCTCGCTCAGCAACGGTTCCTGCGCACGTTCTAGGACTTTATTGTTAGAAATTCTGGAAACGTACGCAGACGGAATTCTGAAAATATCTCGCAGACATTGCACATGGAAGTTGTCTAAACGGGCTCTGCCAGCTTGCAATGACCGAACAGTCTCTAAATTATACAGCAGCTTGGGCAAGACAATTGATTTTTAGTGTGCGGCCAACAGTGAGAGAGCTTGAAATAGAGACTTGGCTTCACCAGTTATCCGAGTGATTCCAGGTTTTGTTGAGCATTTTACATTATATAATCCCCCTAAGTGCATCGCTTGCTCCACTATTTTCAGCGGCGCGCTGGCGGGAGAAAGCAAAGTACCAGTGTTATGTACACGCATGCATACAGTTTTATCCCAATTCGGATCCAAGCCATATCTCGCGCCTTCGTCAATGACAGTGTTGAGTAGCGTTTGAAGCTTACCAGATTCGCTGCTGAGTAACATTGTGTCATCGGCGTGTAACGAATCACTGCATGCCAAATCGTTGGGCTCCCGGACAGCATCGTGTAGGCCAGTCATTGTGTTGTCGACGTCGTAGAACATGATGTTTTGAACGATGATGAGTACATATGGTAATAATGGGCACCCTTTGTGCGATCCCTGCATCTTGAAGACGTCTGCTGGAATTTACGATTGGGTCCCGCAACAAGAAGCTTCTGTATCTGTAGGCCGCCGCTATCATGTTCAACATGTCCGTGGGGATGCCGAACTTTCGAAGCGCGTCCAAGAGCGCTACTGTAAGTAATCCTGCAGATTGACATGTGTCTGCGGCCTCGAACATCCTCCGGGCAATGCCGATCGCCTGGGCAGTGCTTCTGCCTGGGCGGAAACCATAATGAGTCGAACGACTTCGGTCCTCGGCCCCGCCATTTTGAGTTCGCTTTTGTAGCATCCGCGCCAAAAGTTCGTACCCAATCGACAACAGAGATATAGGGCGGTAGTTCTGCAGCAGGTTACTGTCCCCCTTTTTGTGTAGAATTGCCACGACTAAGGTATGCCATTCTGCTGGTGTGTTCTTTTCGCCCCAACACCTTTGAAATAATCGGAAGTGTGGGGGTGAGATCGAAGTGGAACGGAGAGCCCCCCTACCGGGAAATCGATTTCGGTTTCGTGTTCGTGCGTGTTGTGCGGGCGAGGCGAAGCTGCGTGGGCGGGCGAGAGAAAGTCTCTTGTGGCTGAGGCGCGGCCGGACCAAATGTCTCCCTTCCGGGCGGCCGGGGGCCCGCGGTGTCCCGCAGGTGTCCCGCTGGTGCCCCGTGTGGCTGAGGCGCGGCCGGACCAAATGACTCCCTTTCGGGCGGCCGGGGGCCCGCGGTGTCCCGCCGGTGTCCCGTCGGTGTCCCGGCGGCGTCTGTGGCTGAGGCGCGGCCGGACCAAATGACCCCCTTCCGGGCAACCAGGGACCCGCGGTGTCCCGCCGGTGCCCCGTCGGTGTCCCGATTATGGTGATGATATTGATGATGGTGATGGTGATGATGATGGCGATGTGGATGTTTTGTTTTGATGATCGATAGTGAGATCGGTAGTGATACCGATTGTGAGATCGCACGTGAGATCGAATGTCAGATCGCTTGTGAGATCGACCGAATGTGAGATCGATAATGAGATCGCTCGTGAGATCGAGTGTGAGACCGAATGGGATATCGATTGTGAGATCGATTGTGGTATCGATAGTGAGATCGATAGTGAGACCGAATGTGAGATCGATTGTGGAATCTATTGTGAGATCGATAGTCAGATCGATTGTGAGATCGATCGATTGAGTTAGTAGTGAGATCACTATCGGTAATGAGATCGGTAGTGATTTCGATAGTGAGATCGATGATGAGACCGAATGTGAGATCGATTGTGAGTTCGGTTGTGAGATCGATAGTGAGATCGATAGTGATATCGATAATGAGATCGAAAGTGAGTTCGGCAGAAAGATCGATAGTGAGGACGAGTGCGAGATCGATTGTGATATCGATGGTGAGATCGATAGTGAGACCGAATGTGAGATCGATAATGAGATCGATAGTGAGTTTGATAGTGAGATCGATAGTCAGATCGAATGCGAGATCGATTGTAATATCGATTGTGAGATCGATAGCCAGACCGAATGTGAGATCGATTGTGGGATCGATTGTGAGATTGATTGTGAGATCGATAGTCAGATCGATTGTGAGATCTATCGATTGAGATCGATTGTGAGATCGGTAGTGAGTTCGATAGTGAGATCAATCGAGTGCGACGTTGGTCCCTCCCCCCCCTCACCTCCTTATCACCCGAAGGGTGGTCTATGCGGTATTAGCAATTCCCCGCAGGCTTCTTCTGAAAACGATAATGCCTTCCAGAATTCTGGGGGTATGTCGTCTATGCCCCCTGTTTTCCCAGCGGCGATGGCCCGGAGTGCACGCCGAAGTTCTTCCATATCGAATGTCCCCGTGTATATGCCCAGTGTGTCTCCAACGTTGGTTCTCCCACTCGGTAGAAGATCTGCATGCGTAACTTTCCATTGGATCTTTCCGAAGTAGTCCGCCAATGTATCAGCGCGTTGTGTGCTCTCCACCGGCTGCCCATGTTTGTTGCGAATTTGTATTGGCTTCTTGGGGGGTTCTTTCCTGACGGCCCGTGCAGCGGCCCATTTCTCGCCAACCAATTGTGAATCCAACCATTTCTTTTTGTCATTCCTCACTGATGCCTTGATAAGTATTGTGATTTTGTGCTGTCCCATCAAGATTCCAACAAGTATTGTGAGTTTGTGCTCTTCGTCGCTGAAGGCAGTCGATTAAACAGAATCAGATCAAGGTTTGCGCTGGAGGCGCCATCATTGCTCCAGTAGAATTGGCGTAAGTTGTCTGCCCTCGTGGGCGACCGGCGCTGGGGGTGGCAGAATATTCATGATGGCATTAATCGTTTGTGTCGCCGCTGAAGGCAACAGTTTAAACATACTCGCGCAAGTATTGCGCGGGAGGCGCCATCTTTTCCCGGTCAGGGTTGGCGTAAGTTGTCCGCCCTTTCCCATGGTGCAGCCATTCGCCGACGGAGGTGCGGAAAAAGGATCCGCTTTCTTAGTCTCCGTTTCTTTCGTCTCCATCTTCTTTTCATCATCGCCCCATGTCGGCCACGCGCAGAGGGGGGTGGCGTGAGGGGGGAAGGCTTCTAAAGAGCACCCCTGCTTCTTAGAAGGCGCGGGCCTTTTCCGTAGATGTGAGGCCCGCGCTTTCTAAGAAGTAGCCTCCTAAGGCGCCTTCCCTCCCACGACCCCCTCTCAAGCAACTTTGGCTTGAGGTCACACGGCCCCCAGGGGGCCAGGGTAGTCTTGGGGTTCCGACGTCCGTACCTCACATCCAGAGCCCGCGGGCGTCCCCGAGCGCTTGACGTGCCAGGCCCGAAAGGACACGGACTAACACTCGGGATGAGAAAGTTGTGGACCAGATGTGTTGTGTGCCAGCATTGTGAGTGGAATGAAAATCTGCGATCGGGAGGCTCCTTGTGCCCGAACTATCACATTAAGTTACGCTGCGCACCCCTGGTCGCAAAGTTCGATTCAGGCGTGATCACGGGGAGGAGTTTCACGATGCACTTGGTGAAAACGATGACCTGCCCCGGCCGCAGGCCCCAGGAGTCCTCTGTGGAGGCAACCGCCGAAGCGCCTCCCCAGCTGGGCGCGGCAGCCACGGCGGCGGCAAGGGCAGGCCGAGCGGGAGTGATGCACTGGCCAGGAGGGTGCTGCCCCCGCTGTGAAAGCGCATGCCCAACACC